TGCCAAGCACTACTGTTTGAAGTAAGTGGTTTTCGGATACTGATATAAATCAGTAGTGTACAGTTTGTTTCTTAACGATTAATACTTAAATTGATGAACTGTATTTATTAATATTTCTTTGAACACCGAGTGTAACATACGGTTTCAAATCAACATCTCCACGTCGTCCTATTCTCTGCAGTCCTCTTCACCTAGCTGCACGATTCTCCATAGGCTCTCATCGCCTCCTCACACCATCTCCTCCATTTCACCCCCACACCCACAACCACATTCCAATTCCACTCGAGTAGTGGCCACCGTGCGATGTCACCCCACAGTATCCTCAGCGTGTATCCTGTTCATCTCCATTTTCTTCAGAATATTTTTTGAGCAATAGGTTCTTGATTTGTTCATTCTCAGAGTTTCTTGTTGATAATTCTTTGTGGTTAGCCATCTGGTCTTCATTGTGGAGCCAGTGAAGGCAGCTGTTGCGAAAAGTCTTCAGTAGCCTGCTGGAAATGCTTTTGGTGACACGCCGGTCAAACCTCCGACCCATACAGAAGAAATGACTGAGTTAACATTAGTGCTGGGAGTCGGAATCTTACTGTTTCTGCTGTGGAGTACAGGAGATTTCCAAATTGATTTCAGAGTGATGAATGTCGTCTGTCTCGCCTTTCTGATTCTGTCTGGTCTTCACATTCCCATCCGTGCCATCGCCACTAGCTGGAATGATACTGCCTAGATGAGTGACGCAGTTGACTTCTTTCCCACTTACTCCGTTGATAGTGATTGCTGCTTCTCGTTGTTGTTGTTGGTGGTAGCCGGCTATCTCCATTACCTCTTTATTCTGTATGCTCGCTTGAATTTATGTCTTCTCTCTCTGTTTCCTCCGACATCTTTTCGCTTTTTACCTGTAATTCTTCGAGTTTGTGTGAAATTCGAGAAGAATCGTCTGCGAAATTCAAATTTTCTAGAGTCTTCTTATCGGTCCAACGTATTTCCGTCTTCTCACTCCCCACGCACGGTGTTGCATACAATCCAGTCCACCACAATTAGGAATATATATATATATATATTCTTTTATTACAGCTTGATGCCACACCTTATTTTCAGTACAAGTATGGAATTTTCAGCATGGATATCGGTAGCCCAAATTTTGCAGACCGGCCATAGATATCGGGTGTGCATCGGCAGGGGATCGAACCCCGGACCATGTGCATGGTCGGCGAGAGTCCTAACCACTGTGCCACCGACGCACAGACAGTCTTATCTTACTCCTGCATTTACTTCAAACGCATCGCACAGTTTTCCGCTGTCGGTCACCTGATACGTGGCATTGCAATATAGTTGTTGAATGAGGTTGATAAATATTTGGGGCAATACACTCCATAATGTTGAAGTAGTTTCCAAATTACTTCTCCGTCAAAACTCTTGAACGCCTTTTCAAAGTGGATTAAGTAGATGTGAAGATATGACTGCCATCCTAAGCTTTGTTCGATGACGATGGATACAGTTGCTATTTGATCCTCACACGAGTAGTTCTGGTCACAGTTCCGCATCTAGTGTATGTTTTAGTCGCTCCAAGATGATGCGACTTAGTATTTTACTTGGCTTGGACAAGAGCATGATTCTACACCAATTCTTCCACCGACCTCAGTCACCCTTCTTTTCTGGCTTAACAAAATAGCTTTTCTTTCAGTCAGCAGTAGGTACCTTTCCTTCCTTCCAAACTTTCTGCGGTAGTAGAGTGAGGATATCTGCTTCGGTCTTTGGGTTCGTTTTCAGTCCTTTAGGAGGAACTCCTTACGGTCCTGCCGCCTTCCAATCCCTCAATAGCTTAATTTTATTCAAGACTTCTGCTTTTGTTGGCGGATTGGTGTCCATTGACGGTTGTTCTATGGCTGTCGGTGTTGTTTCTGGACGAGTTGCAGGTGATGGCCGATTCAAGAGTCCTTTGAAGTGATCAGCCCATCGTTTTGTTTGTTTCTCCTTCTTGGTGGTTAGGTTACCTTGACCACTATTTCATCTGTGTTGACCTCTTCCCAGATAGAGACCTGGTTATCTGACACAATGTCCTGATCATATACACTGACCTAAATCAACACATTTTTTAACGATCCTGAAAATAAGGTAGAAAACAAAGCCCTAGTTAGTAGAAACTGAAGACAATACTCTTTCGTCTCCTTCGCACTGCTATTCAGAGGGAGAAACTGGAGCAATCCATACAAAAGAAAATTATTCAACCACTCCTACTATCACGGTAACAATCTTAGTGACTTCTACTGAATTTATTTTTTGTTTGATTTTTCTTCTAACTCCTTATAACTCTTGTATGTCATTGGAACTCTTACATAATTCCATATTCTGCTTCGTTTCTATGTACCTCCTGATTGCAACTCTCTCATTAAACTATTCACCTTACTACTCAACTCGACTACAATTATTCAACTCGTCTAATGCATTGACTATCATTACAACTATGTTTGTCACAACCCCCCCTCCTGATTCAATTAAATGAAAAATAGGAGACAATATACGTCACAAGCACATCGTAACGCAATAGTCACAGCACATGAAGTAGCATCAGTAACTCAACGATGATTACAGCCCATTCACTCACTTAGAAGAGAACATGTATTCTAAATGTATCTGCCAACCGATATTATTGTCGGATTTCCGAACACCATCTGGTGTGGTTAAGTAAGGGACAAGCAAAGTGCATTCATAATTCTATTCTATCTCATCTCGTGGATACAGAACACAAGACTGATGTTAAAAAGCTTTCAAAGGCATCTACCGTATGATGAATGGTCTTAATTTTACCTCATTAGTTCGTCTGTTAAATACTGATGAGTTCATCGGAATCCACATTGAGAAGACCAACTTATGTATCTGAAAGAAGTTGGTTCAAACTATTTCCTTACCTTGGTCATCAAGGCTTTACTGATCCTTAATTTGTTTTATAAACATTCTTAATTTTATCTGTTATTCTATTTGCTATTACACTTTACTGCTTATTATAAGTTATGCATCAAGAAGCTTGATACAGCTGCAGTCAGTAAGAAGCCTATTTTCATCAAACTCGACTACAAAGGCGACGACATTATGAGAATGGCAAATAAAAGATTAAGCGCAGCTCTGTCTAGGACGTATCCTGCAGCACTATTGGTCTCTCTACCCCAAACAACCTCCTCACTGGTGCAGTCAAAGACTGACAAGTACCCCTCACATGTTACCTCCAACTGTGTATACCAATTCACATGTATCTGCGGCAGCAGTTACATTGGAAGAACAGAGAGGAGGGCCTACGTCAGAATCTGTGAACATGTACCAAGGAGCCTCCGGTTAAAGGGACCGAATTGTTTAAGCTCTTCAATCACCAAACACCTGATTGACACCGGACACCGAGTAGATGTGCTGGAATCATTCAAAATAATTAACAGACAAAGTACCTCAATTCTTCTCAGGTTTGCTGAAGCTATAGCAATAAAACGATTGAAGCCTGACTTATGTGTCAAACAAAAAAAATCCGTTGTTGAACTTCAGTTAACCTGGTGACTCACTTCTTAGTAACTCTTTGTTTTCTAATTTTGTTAACTTATCTTTTCACTCCCCCCTCCGGCTTTATTTTTCGCTTAACTGTCTTAAGAGATAATTTTTCTTGATCTTCTGAGTTCTGCTCACTGTATTACATCGTCAACTTCTCATCTGATCTCAAGTGCACTGAAATTTTGATCTTCTCTTATCTAATTACGCAACTATTACTAATTTTCCTTTGTTACCACCCCAACAACATAACTGTTAATTATTTTTTTCAAGAAACTTCTCTCTAACAAGATATATATATAACACTTTAGGCACTTTGTAAATCGCAACGCCTTATTTAACTATGACGCTCTGACAGTATGCCTGCTAATGGAGAAAATTTTGTTAAAATTGTACACTTTTTTATTTTATTAAAGAATTCAGGTTGTACGCAGCTGATGAGAACCGACAAAATAAAATGGATCCAGATTATTCTGCGCCAGTGTTTCTTCTTTCTTCGTTCAAATGTAATTCTATTGATCTTAACAAAATGATATTATTTTTTTGAAACATCAATATTGTTAATGACGATTATTCTAGAATACTATATATATAGAGAGAGACGGCAGAGGAATTTATCGAGTATTGTTTGCCTGAGCTTTCTGTTGTCTTGTAAATATTTAAATGGGAACTTTCGCTATAACCAATATCAGACGAGTAAAATCTGACTAAAACTTGCAACAATAAGGGAAACGTTTAGTACACTAAGCTGCTGGGTTAAGAGAAGGTTTAATTAGTTTGATCTAAGATTTAGTTATTAATTCTCTGTTCTTCATTTTGTTTCCGTTTATTTTCCGCAGTTTCTTTGAGTTACATAACATCTGGTCTTTGTTCATGTTCAACTAGCAATGTAATCTTATACTGTGGGTTACATATATACATATATATATATATATATATATATATGAATCGGGTCCCAGCGGCTGAGTGGTTTACGAGCTCGCTTTGTAACTGGAAGGTCCTGGCTTCGAACCCTGGTGGTAGAAGCGTTCTGACGATGAGTTCCAAACTAGGATAAAACAGCTTTCCAGTACACCAAAGCTTTGTAATAGTTTTCTAACTGATATCAGTCTGTGGGCAAACTAGTAACAGTCCTCCATTTCGAGATAGTTTAAACATTTTACTTTTGTGTCATTCATTATAATAAGTTTAAGCAGGTGAATTTTAGTTTCCCTTGTTGTTAATCACAACCTAGTAACTGAATTTAAAAAGTATGTAATAAATTTAAAATAACATGATAATTTTCCACCAATTAAAACATTCTCTGCAACCCCATATGGTGCGTAAACATTCATTTTAATTATTACGGGAATGAGTTTCATTGGACAATAAAACCAACCAATCGGAATTCAGATATTGTTGTGTACATAATATATAACCTTTATGATGGGGATATAGTGATTTACTACGCGAGTAATTCAAAGCTCTTCTTGCAAATGCAGTCAAATATGACAGAAACCCTGCCAGTTATCTTGAATCCATTAACAAATATCGATTCACCAACAGTTAGACATATTGCAAAATTAATCAAGTCAACCAGAAATGCCGCAGCGCTGAAAACTAACAATAATGCTGATATCAGCAATAATCAATCGCATATTGGATTAAGACGACCCAAATGTGCACGTTGTCGGAATCACGGTTTAATTGCTTGGGTAAAAGGTCATAAACGTAATTGTATGTATCGTGACTGTAAATGTCCGCAGTGTATATTGATTGTTGAACGTCAAAGAGTTATGGCTGCACAAGTGGCATTAAAAAGACGACAAGCTGTTGAAGATGTCATCGTTATGGATTGGCAACGTTTTAATGAACAAAATAAGGACAATAGCAGTAATGATAATGTTAATAATAACAACAATGAAACATTCAATCATTTTGTTGCAAATCAATCTTCGAAAAATTCAATAAATCAATATAATTATTACTTAGATTATTTGAATCATCAAATTGACAACAAAGGTGAAATGATATGGAGTCAAGAGAATAAGTATGCGCCAGTGTTAGTGTCCGGTAAGTTTTTCAAAGCATTTTTCCCCCTGTGTATATATGAGTGAGTACAAACAGTAAAACTTGCTACTATTATTTTCAATAATAATTAGCATTTCTTAATTAGATTCATTGATACTTGTGATTTACTGTCGATCAGGAAATCAATGACATAAATAAGTGATTTCAAGTCATACAGATGGTTTTTGGTGGCTCGTTAATCCGGTGCATAACGCTTTGGCGTATGAAGCGATGAATGCTGAGTCCGAATCTCATCGGATAGGCCATCACTTACTGAGGAATGGTTGCACTCTTCTGGAAAGTCTTAAGAGCAGAGGAAAAACACGTAGGGGATTCTACGGCTAACCACTACGAAACAAATAAAAAATAATTGTGTATAAAATTAAATAAATCAAAGTCTTACAACCTTTGGTTATGTAACAGTTGAATTATCCGTGTACTGTTATTTTCTGTCATTAGCTTTATGCTTGTTTCACTGGTTTTAAAGTAGACTCTTGTTATAAACAGACATCATTTTAATAGGAACACGACTTTCGTCCCGACCTGGAACTCATCAGGGCAAGTCACCCAGGTCAGTTTTTAAACAGAATCTTATGATGAAGGGTGAATTCTCTTTTCCTTAAGGTTGAACAATTCTGACATTAATTCCAAATCACACCAAGTCACTAATGTAGAATGATGTGCTATCCCCAAAGTGGAACATTAATCTCATGGTCCTTAGTTCATAAAAGATTTTTGTGCTAGATATTGATTCGTTATGAAGTTAAAAGTGAATAATACTCAAATTAATAGACATCAGTGACGATAAATGAAGCTAGGATTGGGTAACCACAGAGTTGTAGGGAACAAAGTCAATTACTAATATATTATAGCCGTTTTATAGGCAAGTAATTTACTTTCACAGCATATATATGTATGCTCTGATAGATCAACGGTAATTACACATGGCTTGTAAACTAGGAGATTTGAATTTTCTGCCTAGTGGAATCACTGGCGGGCAAAGCTGAAGAGCCGCTGGCTAGGACGAAATGGAAGCCCAGCTCTGTACAGCTTTTCACTGACTTGCTAACTAATGTTGGTTTATGCCTAAATCTAGACTGAAACCATTCAAATCCCTTCAAACTAACAGTTGTTTTTTTAATTTTTAATTGTGAATGTTCACATAGACTATACGTGTTGTTGGCTTGCAGACATTTGATTGGCTACAGATTTGATCCCAAGCTGACAGCAATTAGATAACCACTAGACAACTGTTTCGTCCTAATCTTTGAGAGTCATAGGCAGTATGCACCCGCCGCCTGGGTTCGAAGCCACTGCAAGCTCATAGACAAATCAGCCACTGGGACCCGATACAATGACTCAGTATTTGTAGATAGCCAATATGGTATGAATATATTGCATTATTGGAGTAGGAAACTTAAGCGTCTTACATTTATTCTGTCAACGAAAACAGTGACACAGGTTGAGCATATTCCTTATGAACGCACAAACTTTTTAAGAAGCAGAAGAACCAAACCGCTTTAACCTCCAGTATCTGCAGAATTCCAGGACTAATTTGCTTTTATCAAACTGATTCAAACACAGTTACATAACCAAGAATAACTGGTTCATGTTAGCCTTTCTTTTCCTGGACTAAGTTGTCTAGTATTTGATTTTTATTCAATTCTGATTTTTCCGTTGATTGGTTGGACCGGAATATTCGGCCTGCGTTGACATGCCTGTTTCTGACGAGGATTTTTCAACGATATCTAAGGAATAAATTGAAGTAGTTTGGTGGATGGTGTCTGACTAGCAGTAGAATCCAGGATAAAGAGCATTTCGTCCCACTTGGCACTCATCATCTGGATGTACTTGCACTCCCCAGTGAGTGATAGTGTTTCCAATAAGGGTTGAACCCAGTTCGCACCGTTTCAAACGCCTGAGTGTTATCCACTAAATCACTTGAGTGCCACGATAGCCACGACCAACGAATTTCAGATATTATATTATTTATTTTAAATTCAATTTTGATTTTTCTGTTGATTGTCTAGTAAACAGAAGCACTGTTTCTATCTTCTTGTTTTTATGAAAGAGCAGAGCACCGCAGTCATTACTATTTGTTCAAATGATATTCTTATTTTTGCTTAGATGGACCAGCCAATAATAAAAGAGAAAATCCCGTAGATTTAAATCCGATAACCACATTAAATGCACTGACAACAGATATGATGCACAACTCTGTCAAATCAGCCTTCAATAACATTAATATGAATAATAATAATACTAATAATATGCATAGTAATGAGGTCAGTTCATCAATTACTATAAGTAACATACTTCATAATGAAAATCCAGAACGTCCAGCAGCTGAAAGTAGTCCAATAATGAAACAGTCGAACAGTTTATCTATCAGCACACTGTCACCAAAACGCCACGAGGAGTCGTTTTCACTACTATCATCGTCCCCATCATCTTTGTCATCTCATCAATTATCCTGCATGAATAGAAACATCTTCATTCAACAACAACAACAACAACAAGGACATCAGGCACAACAACGACGTCATCAACTGGAACATCAAAACTATGGTGAATCACCTGGCATCAATTACTTCTGCAATTCAACTAATGCCACCATAAATTCATTTCAAGAACCGGCGAAATTACTATCAAATCTATTCGCCTATTTACCAAAACCGTCAGACCTACTGAAACAATCTAGTTATGATAATGTTTCATTATCGAATAACTATATACATCAGTATTCACAGTATATCGGGCAGTTAAATACAATCACGAACAATAATAACAGAAGTATTGAGACAAATCTGTCATGTTATACAACAACTGAAACACCAGTAACGCCTTCATTGTCATCGTCAACACAGAGGTCATTCTCAAACACTGATCAAATACTACTCGATAATTACTCAAATTTTCCAATACAACAACAATCAACAATGATTACAGGTGACAGATCAATAAATTCAATGACCACTGGAATTCCCTCTGCGTCAACATTAATGCCATCTTTTCAAGGACTATATAAGTATACAGCTCAGAAAAACACGTGAATGTGTAGGAATATATATATATATATCCCTATAAAGTGCTTAATTTCTTTTTCCACTAAACGTGCATACTACTTAATTAGCAAGTTATTATTTGTTTGAATTGACAATTTGAATTGATACATTAATTATTTTGGCTCATTATACCTCTATTTTCTATTCGTGCCATTCGTTTGTAATTTACAATTTTTCATCAAGTACATACATACCTTTACTACTGAATTGTTGATATTAGTAACATTAATTGTGTTAATTGAGTTTTACATATATATAAATATTTTTTAACAGAATAAATGAAGTATAATTGTGAACACTTGTGCACTTTCCTTTTCGTATTTATTGAAAAGAATAAGTTGTCGATGAATTATGCTTGGAAATTGATTCGAGTTACATGACAACTTTACGTAAATATTTTCAAAAGTTAGTTTGTAGGAATTCGATTTGTTTCAAGTTTGATGGCGGATAGTTATCAGTTAGGGAACCAACGAAAACCAGGGAGTGCTTTTGGAACTCATCGTTAGTGTGCACCCACCACTGGGGTTTGGAACCCATCCATCACTTCCCGGTTACAAGGCCAGCACTTAGACCTAACAGCCACTGGGAACCGACTCAGTGGCGAGATTTTTAACTTCTACCTACTCATGATTTAAGCGCGACTGGCACCAGCCAGTGTCATCTCGGTGAGTATCTGTCCTCACTCTTGACCAGATAGCCTCCACTGGTCGCGACTTCTCGTTTGAACTCTAATCAGCTTCGTCCTGCAGCCAGGCACTAACGAGCATCAGATCAATTTTTATGAGTTAATTTGTAGGATTTCGGTTTATTTAAAATTTGACCATTGTGCGTGCGTACTGCCGATGAGTCCCAAAACTCACGACGAAACAGCTATCCAGTATTCCCAGGTCTTCAAATGGTTCTCTAATCGATATCATTCCATGCTCAAACTTCACGTAAATAGTTTTCAAGAAAAAGCGAAGTGGTGCTCGACATCTGTCAATCGCATGACAAATTGAAATGAGTATTTGAAAACTAATCACACCAATCAGTCGATTTTGAGGCATCTAAACACCAAACGGCCACTTTGTTTGTTTTAAACCGGCGTCATCAATGATATAGGTGGACAGACTTGGCAGAGAGAGGGAGCGAGAAAGAGAAACGAATCAGTTCAAAACGCTCGAACTCTAGTTTGCTGCTTCCTACTCGACAAAGTGGTGACAGTTACAATCAGATTCGCTGTTGGGAAATCACACAGTCCCAGGCAAAAATTCCACCCCCTCCTACCTGACCACCAGGGCTTTCATTTGGAAACCGAAATTATTCATACCACGATATGAGACCTGTCTGAGACTTTAAATAGTCATCAATAAGGCGGGTAAGTCAAAATGATAGCGCATACTAACGAATGATATCAGTAACACGGACAGCCGTGTAGTTATGATAGACATCAAGTAGCTCACATATTGTGATCCGATTACTTTCGAGTTTCCAAAGAAACTCTGATGAATTTTTACCCTAAAACAATTTGGATTCTTTGATATCTCTGGAGCAGAAAATGCAATCATGCATGCCTATAAAGTTTAAAGATCAGTCGGAGTTTCAAAGTATCAATGAGTGATTGTAACAGTAATGATATCATTCGTTGTATAAAACGCGGCTCTCATGAATTTTTAACTGAATCAATGAGGATTACTGAGTTCGGATGTGAGTTGAAAAGAAGGACAAATTTAATTAACAAGTCTCACACATGACAACCTTCCTACAGGATTTGGATTCCACTGCTGGTCACTAATAAAACATGTAACTTTAAATGATTAAAGAGAGATGGGGTTATGGGAAACCGACTATTTTCTTTCAGTGTAGCTTTCACTATACATTGAAATGATTTCTAGAGTAATTGAAAAAACAACCACAACAACCGAGTACTTGATAGCTCTTTACTTTTAGGTTAAAATTCCTTAAAATGATGTAAGCTGACAACGTTGCTACGGTTTAGAATCTGGACACTTTAGTCCAAATGTAAGAGCCACTTAATATTCAATCTTTGCAGTGTCATTCAATATTTCTTAAACTCCAACTTCACTCTATCCATCTGTTGGGTAAAATGAGTCTGATATTTTCCAGAATTATTTTTTGTATTTAAAACTCATCTTCTCTGTAAACTCCCTCGATCAAAGTGTCTCGCTAGGACATAACAGTAGTGTCCTCAGAGTTATTGATTAGTGAACACCGTAATATTACATATGAAGTCCCTTATTTGGAGGGTTTGTTTCGTACAACAACGCGTGAATAAACAGACAGATTCAGTTTTCAAGAGTTCGTCTGCAGACATTTGATTCGTTTCAAGTTTGCCCACGGATTGATATCAGTCAGTGAATTATTGAACACCAATCACCACTAGACAGATATTTCATCCTAATTTGGGACAAGGCATTGTTTAGCGCTATGCTATAAACAGTCAGTTAGGTCACTCCGTAAACTAAACTTCTTGGATTTGATTGCCGGTTGGGTACTTAGTCCAAGAATGTGTCTGTATGTGTGTATAGTGAGTGTGTGTATGTGTGTGTGTCAGTTTCTTGTGTGAATGCTTTAATAAGTCGTGTTATCATACTGTAACTGTTGAATCCTTTCAATTACTGAATATCTTTCTCTGCCTTGCTTACTAAAGCCCATGTCCCCAAAGGTATTGTTCTCTCTCCTTTTCTTTTTTCTTTCTTCGTGCATCAACTTCGTTAAATGCTACGCTGATGATATGACTGTCTCGTTGCCAGTCGCGTCCCACTCTGACTGTTCCAAACTTAATGGCTTTTTTGTCAGACATAAACCAGCAGTCCAAGTTAAATGGTCTCGCCTTAAATTCCTCTAAATGTCAGACAGTTAATTTCACCTTCAGGAATTCACGCTATCTACACGAACTTGTTCGTTCACAAGGCGCTGCTTGTAGCATGAAGGGCACCGAAACAGAAAAAAGCTAAATCAAGCATAAAATACCTTGGCATGGTTCTATTCTCTAACCTTTCTTAGTCAGCCATCCCATATCTTCATTATAATAAAGGTTTTTTGTATTTCCCAATGAATGAAAAACAAAACGATATTGTTTTTACCGACGTTTCGCTATTTAATGATAATAGCTTTATCAAAGTATTATTAAACCAGAATTTACAAAATCTCAGCATATATATAACAAACAGTTAGGGGGTGAGAAAATAGATATAGGTCAAGTTAAAGGGACATATTGAAAGTAAAAATAGCAATGAAGATAACTAAACCATTCAAACCGTTAAAAGTGAACTTGGTTTGGACATATATAATCCCATATCTTACCGATTTTTATGAAAAATGTTCCATTTAACCTACTACATTAAGAAGTTAAGATAATCAGGAATCACTCAACCTCCAGTTTCACAATTTGTTAATTCTTGCATCTTACCTGTTTTACTTTACTAACCCCTCCCGCCCATTCCAACTTAGTCTCTCCTGGGCTACTCAAAAAGGACTATGCCATAATGAGCAGGGTATTAAAGGTTGTCAGTAAGGCAAGTAGTTTTGCAACTAAGTCAACTCGGTACTAATGTAGTCGACAAACAGCTGAACTCATGTGAGGAATGGCTGAAATCCATTTTGACTGACTCTCAACGCCATCTCTATTTTTTGATTATAGCTTGAAACTACACGGTACTTTTGGTACAAATGTTTAATTTTCAGCATGTGATATCGGTAGCCCAAATTTTGCAGGCTGACCATAGATATCGGGTGTGCGTCGGCCTGGGATCGAACCCCGGACCATGTGCATGGTCGGCGAGAGTCCTAACCAATGTGCCACAGACGCGCTTCTTTACATCTCTCCCCTGCTTGCCTCCCATAACGTAGGGCTAGAAGTCATCATAAAAGATTAAATGCTCGAACAACCAAGTACAAATACTCAACGACACTCTATTCGGCCAGCGTTCTATGTGGTAGGGATAGTGTTAAGCATGAAACCTACAACTTACTATGCAATTACCAAAATAAAGTGCTCTTTTATCTTCTCCTATTTGTAATCTATTGTAACATTATTTCAAGTAACTTATAATTTTAGTTATTATTATTGTCACACTGCTAATATTTAAAAGCTGGTATTGTCACTTCTGGTAATCAATACCCCACACTATTATTTTTTTTTGTTTGTTTTTCTGTTGTCGAGTCAACTGCATACAATACTATACCAAATACTGAGAATTGCACAGTGAATCACAAGTACTGTTCTGGTATAAAGCAAAACATTGTTATTATTACTATTGTTATTATTATTATATCGGTTTACGAAATAAGATTGCCTATAAGAAAGGATATTCACCATTTATAGAGAAAAATTCAGGAATTCTGAAGTCAGAATATTTCAGTTACTATGACTTAATTGTACACAGTTTTTTGCATATACCCATGAAGCGTCTAAAACTAAAGATAAAGTGGGGGGTGGGGTGGAGGGAAAGGTGAACTCAACCTCAGGTGTCCAGTAAGTTTAGTTTAATTGGTTACGATTAGAAGTATGGTGAACATCTAGTTCGTGGCAGGATTCGAACAACCAGACTTAGAATAACTACTCCAATACAACTTTTCAAGAGCTTCGGTTAAAAAAGTTTTTATCAATCAGATCATCATCAGGTCGATTGCAATCATCACAGCTGATGAATGTCAAACTATTTACTGCTGGACTGGTCAAAAGACTGAAAACAAGTTAATAATAATTTTTCTACTGTGTACTGATAAAGAGTCCCAAGCTAGGACGAAACGACTGTCCAGTACTCCCCGCAGGTTTTCCACTGGTTCTCTTACTGATATCAGCTCATGATGAAATCCTCTAACCAATCAAACAAAATCCCTGCAAAAACCAGTAGTTGAAAATTGATCTGATGTGCTTACCAGCGACTGGCCTTATTCAGGCAGTTACCTGGGGTTCCAGTGGGAGGCCGTGACCAATAGGATACAGCAGGTTGGAGGTGAGGCAGTAACTCATCGAAGAAGAG